AGTTTTTGCTGCGCTCTGCACAAACAGGAGTGTTTGTGATTTGCACTCTGCTTGACATGCCACCCCCCGCTGCTTGCAGCTGACTTTTGCCATCTTCTTCCTCCTGCTGCTGCCCCGGGATCCAGGTGGGGGTGAGGGTGCAGCCCTGGGATGCACACAGTGAGCATGGTAGGGCGCGCGGAGCCTTATCTGCCAAAGGGAGCTTGCCCAGCCTGGCTGGGGAGGAGGCAGCGGGACAGCAAGGCATGGTGCTCTCCGTTGCCGGCAGGGGCAGGAGACCCAGCAGCAGCTCCCTGGGTGAAGGCGGAGGCTGTATGGGAGATGCTGTTTGGGGTGGTGGCAGAACTGGAGGAAGCAGAGGGACGTGGGTTTCCCAGAGGTGCAGCGTGCACTCTGCAGCTCATGTTGGAAGTGCTCCTGGAAAACCAGCCTGTGGGCTTCAGCGAGGGGTGGAGGTGAGCCCAGTGCCAGCAGAGCCTATCTGCAGGCCTTCTGCTCACTCTCAGAGCAGCCTTCCACCTGCAAAGCTTCACAAAGGACCAGTAGCTTCCAACATGCTGAAGCCCACAGACTGGTTCTCCATGGGCACTTCTGGCATGCACTGTGCAGCTTTGGAAGACCTCAGAAGTTTTTTGAAGCCTTTCCGAAGCATTGTGAGAACAGGGCACACTATTTGGAGAATGGCAGGTGCTCCCATTCTTGCAATGCTTTGGAAGACCTCAGAAGCTTTCCAAAAGCTTTCCAAAGCATCATGAGAATGAGGCGCACTATTTGAAGAATGGCAGGTGCGCCATTCTCATGATGTTTTGGAAGACCTCAGAAGCTTTCTGAAGGCTTTCTGAAGGATTGCGAGAATGGGCGTGCTATTTGGAGAATGGAGCACACTATTTGGAGAACAGCACCTTGGGAAGAAGGCCTGGTGTGGCCAGCAGCTGCCTCACATAAGGCAGGCTGGGCATGCTTCATCAGCAATGGGAGGAAGATGGTGAAGGTCAGCTGGGCACGGCAGAGCCTGTGGAGCACAGGGCAGTGGGGCGGCTGGGTCTTTGCACTGTGGGACTGAGGTGGCTGATGGTGGTGTGGGGCTTGAGGCAGCACTCCTCAGCAGCGGTGCTGGCAACAGTGGGACTGAAGTAGAGGCCTGGGGGCACTGGTGGCTGGCTGAGACTGCTGAAGACCCTGGGCCTCTAATTCAGCCCCAGTGCTGCCACTGCCACCAAGGAATGACACCGTGCAGGGTGGCCAAAAAGGTAGAGATGTGGGGGAAATAGGTGGGTGGGGGGAGTTGAAGTGCCCATTCAGTCATAAGTGCAGGCAGGCTACTGAGCATCTTAATTTTGATGTGACTGCGGGGGTGCTGCAACAGTCATAACTTTGAGGATCAGTTGTAACTCCCTTCATTCAGCACCACTATAACTTTGAATGGTTGCTGAATGAATGGCCGTAAATCGAGGACTACCTGTTTACATTCAGCAATCACTTGTTCAGCGATTGTTTGAAGTTACGATGGTGCTGAACAAGGAAACTTACAACTGTTGTCATAGTTGAGGCCATTGCAATGTCCCCTCGGTCACGCATTTGCGATTTGGGCACTTGGCAATTGGCTTGCAGTTACGACAATCGTAGCATCCTGTGGTCACAAGATTGCCATTTGTGACCTTCACTGCTGGCTTCTGACAAGCAAAATCATTGGGGAAGCAGGAGGTTGCAAATGGCAATCACACAACATAGCGCCTAACAACCGACTTGGATGCATGTTATGACAGCAACCAGAACTGTAACTGCTGTTGTAAATCAGCATGGTCACGTGACGTCATCCTTTATGACTGCATCACTTAGCAATGGAGTTGCCAGTCCCAATTACTGTTGTTAAGCAAGGACTACCTGGATCTAAATCTATTTTATATCAATACCATTTATTATAGTAGTTCTCCATACCTTTCTGTCCAAGCAATGCATCCTTCCTTCCACTGCATCCATAATCTGTCATGTATTGCCATTTGTTCTATAAACATCTCACCTCTCTCTTTCTAAGGACCTCAGAAACTCCACCTGATCATAATTTTTTTCAGTATTCCCCTTTTTCTCAAACTTTTTGCTCTTCCTTCATGTTTTTTTTAATTTGATCCTCATTCATTTTCTCCATATGATCAAATCACCTCAATATTTTTATTTTGTATTGCTCACTCACTTTCATATGCAATGCAAATTCATTCAGCATCCATTCCTTTTCAATCCTATATTTTTTACCACATACACTTAAGTAATCCTTTCCCACTGCATTCAATATATTTTTATATTTTTCCTGAAATACTCAGCTATCATAAAAAAGTGGGCAGAAATATGCTTTTATACATAGCCATTTCCACTTATTTCTTCATTCTTCACACTAGCTTTCTGCCAGCAATTATGTCTTAAGGTATCTCCGTCCATTTTCCCATATTTGACAACCATTCTTCCTCTAGTTTTTTGCCATTTATTTATAATTCGAACTTGTTCACTCCATTTTCCTTGTTAAAATCTACTGCTTTGATCTTTGATACATTAATTTTCAGCTCCCTACTCCTCACTACATTATTTAATATAACATTCTTTGGAGTTCATTTAGGTTCTCAGACAACATGATGGCACTGTTTGGATATAAAAGTACAAGCATATTCATATCCCCACCAACTCCCTCTAACACCGCCACAAACATTCCTCATACATTTGTCAGCAACGTATTAAATAACCAAGGGGATATCGCACAATTTTATCTTACCTTTTGTTCTATATTGAACCATTTCCATTTATTCTCATGCATGCTTTACTTCCACCATAAATCACTCTTATCACATGCAGCAACCATATTTATGGAAAACATTCCATAATAAAAGCCTATTAACTTTACTACTTTCTTTCTCCAAATTAGCAAATATATGATATACTTTCTCACATTTACATATTTCTCAATGACCTGCTGAAGAGCAAAAATCTGGTCTTCATACCTTCTGACATGAACTCTATCAATGGGCAGTCTGTTTCTCTCATTTCTTACCTTGTGTATTGTGTGTTCTATGGCTGTTTGTAGAGCTTTTCTGTTTATTTTGTTTGCATTTTTAATTGTTGTAATATTGTATGCTGCCTAGAGCCACACTGGAGTCAGGCAGCCTTATACATTTACAAAACAGATAAGCTACCTGTGAGCATCTTCCAGCAGAAGTGCATGTCCTTAGCATATAGACAACTACTTTTCAGGAAAACGGAAAATAGAGCTGATCGGTATTAAGTTGGTACAGTTGGGAGCTAACTGTTCATTAGAGAATGGGCTGCTATTCATGTGAATATCAAAATGGCTTGCTAGTGATGGAATGCTTGCTATGCTTGGCATAGAAATATAAAACAAGATAATGTTGTTGATTCAAAATATTTACCTCTTTCAGACAACCCATGAAATTATTGCTGATAGGAGACCCAGGTAAATCAGCTGTACTGGGACTTCCACCGACATAGAAGAAATCATCTGAGCCAAGCATAGTATAATCCTCTTGTGTGTAGCCAGTAGTGGTGAGGATTCCATCCACAGAGATCGTCACCTGTTTGAAGGATACAATGGACAAAACAAAAACAAAAAAAAAGGAAAAGAAAAACAAAATTCCCAGCAATGACCTTACAGTTCTTAAAAGAGCAAGTCATCTCCCTATTTTTATAAAACTTTTAGAATAGGTTTTGCTGAGCTTTGCTTATTCAATGCAGCTCAGTTCCATTTTCTGGTCTGCTTTTTGTCCCTCCACTCCAAGTCCTTAATCACCTGCATTGCTAGTTCAACATTGCTAAGGCCAAAGAGAGCTATTCTACCTGCCATGATGGCTTCCATTTAATAAGGCCAGAAAATGGAGCAATTCTTGGAGGAGAGAGCTTATCTGAGCTGATAGTATGATTTATTAGTCATTATTGGTAGTGATTATTGTTAGTTATGACTGTTAGCAAAGACACTAATGATGAAGTTGATATATTTGATTTTGCTTCTTTTTATTTATTTGGCTCACAGCACACCAATGATCATGCATCCAGGAAAGGGAGGAAGGGAAGGGATCTCACTTTCAATACATTATGGATGAACATGCTATGTACCTACAAAGACACCCACCACCACCCAGTACTGCAACTTAAAAGGAAAAAAAGTACAAAAATTAAAGATCAAGATTGAAAAAAAAACTAAAGAAAGAAGTCAACCACACACCAGCAAGTGTGAGAAACGTAAAGTGAATTTGAAAACAAGAGAGAAAAAAAGGCAAGCGTGCTCACACCCCATACTTCAGCACATCCATGCCAGTGTTTTTCAAAGCCCAGAAGGACAAAGTATCCTGAGAGAGACTTTTTCACACTTGCATGCAATCCTTAAAAAAAATAAAAAATAAATAAACTATAGAGGGAGAACCCCATCCAACACTTAAAAGAAAGGAAAACTAAAATTTAAAAGTCTAAAAAAAAAGTCCAAACCCCATAATACATGGAGGGCAATGGAAAACAGAAAGGGGGGTGGGGAAAGGAAGGTAGTGAAAATGATACGCACGTGATTTAAAGGTTAGATTAGTGGCTTGGTGAAGAGATGGGGAGTGAGAGCTGCAGTATGGTAGGTTGGGAAAGGAGGCGGGGATTAACCAGACATAGACATGCCATGCAGCGTATGTATTGTACTGAAACAAACAACTGGCTGAGCTTCTTTTGGTTGTGGCTAGTGGAATTTCAAAAAGACAGAGAAAGAATATGTGTGGAGGCTGGCCAGAGGAAGAGGTTACGATGAAGTGAGGAAAAAAGAGGGAAGCTTTGCCCAGTTTTGCCTACAGCAGCTGTTGTTACAACAACAACAACAAAACCAAAAAATGAGGGGAAAAAGACTGGCCTCACCACAACAAACTATAGGCCCTGACATGGTAGTTGAGCTAAAAACCTTCATAAAAACAGAAAAAGAAAAAAGCAAGTCTCACCTCCCCAAACCAAAAAAAGGAAGAAAACCAAAAGGAAAAAGAAAGAAAAAGGATTAGCAAAATATTGAAAAAAAGAAAAGAAAAAAATCTTTAAAAATAGATAGGGTAAAGAAGCCAGCAAAAGAGAGAATTAAATCCCATTTCCAGAACTGTTGTATTAGTTTTCCTTTTTGCTTTTTGGCTTACAGAAAAGATATAAAAATACAAATAGATAGGAAGAAAAGGTAGCTACAGCAAAATCAAAAGTAAAATAAAAGGGGAAGGCAAGTTTAAAGGGGAGGAAAAAGAGGGGATGGGGGATGGAGAGGGAAAGGAAGATAACACACGGCAAACCCAAAAAAAGAGACAATAAGAATGATATCTACCAGACAATGTAGTTTGTTTACCATAGCGTGTCCAATGCCTGAGTGCTTTGCGGAAAAGGGGGAAGAAAGGAAATTAAAAAATTGTGAACAGAACGATTGTTAATTAAAATAACCAAAAGCAAAGATGAGTCGTTAGGGTGTTAGTACATTAGTCGGTTAGTAAAAATGACACATTGCATGAATGGTCTAGTGTTAGTTTTTCAAAAAAAGGCATGGGGTGCCCGACACACACAGAGTGAGAAAGAGGACAGCATGAGCAGGACTGTCTGGGAACCATGCCATAGAGATTGTTAGAAGGAAGGGAGCGGCCTGCCCTTCCCTTCTTCTTATGCTGTTAGTTACCCATCCCACCCTGAGAAACATAAGTGGTATTTCCTCTAAAACCAGCTTAGAATTTGAAGGATACAAACCATACTTACTTTTCAAGTGAAAATCAAATGTGTACCTCTCCACCCACATAAATAATTATATACCATCATGAGTGATTCCAACCCTTCCATCCCAGTTCCCAATCCATTTCTACCTCCTTTTAGAATTCCAGTCAATGCTACCCTCCAGTATTGCTCAGATATTCTAACCAACTGGACCTGTCTCTTGGGTTCAAGCTGTTGCTTGACAATTCCCAGGGGGCTGTACTACCCATCCCCCAATTCCCAGTTTTTTGTTGTTGTTTTTTTTCCTTTACAGCAGTTGAATTCTCAGGAAAGACATACAGAATATAAATGATTGGACTAACAGAGACAACGTGTAGCTCACCTGCAATATTCAGGAAAGTGGGGAGAAGTTTCCCTAATTGAAGGAGGCATGAAGATTGCTTGCATCAGGTATTTTGGAATGAATGGAAGAAAGTTGACAGAATTTAACATGTCATTTGAGGAAAGGGAAGACATGTCTTTCTTACTCATGGATAGTTTTATGACTGACTTCCAAACCGCCAAACTCTACTATAGATGCTAATAATCATGGTGGTACTTATTCCTTTGGAAGGATTTCAGAGAAAGGCTTAATTAGTAGTCTTTAGAGATGTTACCAACATCGGGAAACCTATGCTGACAACTGAGGTTCTAGTGCTTCTAGTTTCCAATGGGTGCTGGAAACCCTTTGATTATGCAAAACTGAGAGAAAAGTATTTTTTCATGAAACATCAACCTAAGGGTAATAGTTGATGTGATCTGTACATTAATCTCATCAAACAGATTTTACAGTTTTGATTGTGTTTTATAATTTTCAGTGTCTTTCGGTACCCTGCTAAGCTTGTTTGAGTAGAGATGACACAAGGACAACAAAAAAGGCATCATCTGTATCCGGTCTAAAATGTATTGAAAAAATGTTGTAGTCCTTCTATTGCAAAATTAACTCCCACATGGTTTTAAGCAATTGGGGGCTGAGCCAGATTGGACCAATAAGGTTGTTTGTTCAGTCTCCTGCTCTGATGCATTTAGATTTTACTGATTTCAAAGATATTTGTCTGCTGTGTTTCATATTTGTTTATACTATTTTATTGTATTTTATTATAATGTATTATATTTGTATTTAATAATACATATGTAGTATCCTTAAGTACCATTTTGGTGAAAAGGCAAAACATAACATTTATTGGTTGGCTGTATTCTTTTTTGATATGTGTTGTTTTCTTTTAATTGTCATTGTGGAGTTGAGTAGCTTTGAAATCAAATCAAATCAATAAAATATTTAGCAGAAAGACATTTCAGCAACGGTGTAAGCACTATTTTCATATTCTTTTACTTTTGATCATGAAAATTATTATTTTAAAAAGCCTCTCACCACATGCTAGAAAGCATGACTGTCCAGCATGGCACATGTGATAAAGTGTTAGCTTGAACCATTGGACTATTTCTTTTGTTTTATATACTATTTCGATCTACATATTTAAGTGTATCTACAAGAAAAACAAATAATCATACCAATCTTCTTCTGAAGCCGCTGGTGAAATATATTGACACTTTCCCAATTGTACCATTAAAAATACTTCCATTCAATAAAATAAACATTTTTGTTAAAATAACCGTATGGGAAATTAACTGGGACATAAATTGCTTTGAACTGAATTAACTGTATAGTGATTTCTCTATGCAACAGCATCACATTTTTTTTTTTAAAAAATGAATGTACAGTTGTTCTTTTATAAATGTATAGTTTCAGGTTGCAGGTACAAAAATAGCAAATTTGAATTATGAGAGATACAAACATTTATGTCTTTTCCAGAAAGCCTGCATTGGTTTTCTAATTGAAAAGCATTCCCGAATATGCTAATTTTTAATGTGTTCCATGAAGCATTTCTTTATAGAGAAAAAACTGGAATGCGATTGTCCAACAAAAAATAATTGTTATTTCATTCTGCTGTACATGTACATTGTCTGAATATATGAAAGGAAAAACAAAGATCTTTATTTTAAAAAAACTGCTGAAAATTCTGTATTGCTATATCCTCTGTGTCTGTATTTTGAATAGGGAGCTGGGCTGTAGCCAGAAATATTAGTTTTACTTTGGATATTGCCTCTCATTAAAAGAAATTCTCTCCCATTTAAAGAAAAATAGTACACCATTAACCAAAATGGTTATTGAAACTGAAAGAGAATTTCAGAGAACAGCCATTATAAAATAAATGTATTTTTGTAGTGTGTGAAAATGTGTGTGCATGAAACATGGATAAAAGGAATAAAAAGTTATAGATTAAAATTATATTTTGAGGATGACCACCCTTTTCCAGACAATGAGAAAGTTTAAATTCAATGACATCATTAGTCCAATGGAAATAATTTTTGCCTTCAGATGCATCCCTGTAGTTCTATGTTACTTTAATCAGAACTTGGCCTGCTACCATACTATTGTTATGGTTGTATAAATATACCAGATGTTTAGAAATTAAACATTTGAAGCCCTGCAATAGAATGACACAAATGCTATATTCTTTAAAAAGTAAAAATATCTATGCGCAAGTAAAAAAAAAAGCCTGCTCTGAGTCAAGTTAAATTTTAAAATATAGCAAAGAAGATTTGGGAGTGATTATGAGAAGTACCAATCAAAACATAAGGTAAACAGGAAATCTAGAAAATCAGAGTTGTTGTGGTTCCCCAAGATGCAAAATTAAGTGTTCTGGTTTCAAAGATATTTCAAAACAGGCAAAGAGTTCTCAGTATCTAACTTCTTAAAATAATGGATCAAAAGGTATACTGAAGTGTGATTTTCCAGCAGAAAAACTAAGAAAAACCTGGTATACCAAGCACTGCATAAGAGTACTTGGATGAAAGATTATACTGTATAAAAATCTAATAAGCACAAGACTGGTGATATTATTTGATCTAAAAGTTTCTGATTTGTAGCTTTCTTCTAAAATCATCCTCGGTACCAGGGAATGAAAAGGAAGCTAAGGTAATTCTAATCAAAAAGTTGCAAAGAAAATCAGAAATCTATACACTAATGAATCTAATTCTGATACTCAGAAAAATTAGTTGAAGATACAGTCAAAATAAGCACAATTATAATGCACAAATGAGAAATGCCTTCTAGGGAGGAAGTGGAATAGAAATTGTGAAAAGACATCATAACTCAGAATGAAATCTAATCCATTGTTGGTCAATAATTGATTCAAAGTGCATTATTTTCACCTAAAAGGATGTCTCACTGGCATAGCAAAATCAGGTTGAGCCATCAGCACTATGCATTGTGATACAAAAAAATATTGCTTTGTAATGTTATTAACTAAATCAAATACTGGAGACTGGAGACTGAGGATGCATATAACTCACCTATAAACCATTTTGACCATCACAAAGTCCAAAGTGCTAGTGTAGGCCTATTCAGCCATTAGCCAATTGCCAGCAATCCTGATACAAATTAAACTCAGAAGATTTACTCATAAAAATATGAGTAATCTCAGTGATTTCATCTTGTAGCTATTACATTAATACTCCCTCTCAGGAAGTCTTTTAATTTCACCCATAGTCAAACTTTATGGGAAATATAAAACTACCTCATTCAGAATTATATTACAAGAGGGAAAAACATCTTCTATCTATCAAGGGTTGGCATCAACACACCACACCCTCAGATAGCTTACAAAACAGACAGGAACCTCTGTTAGCCCCACTTATGCTGATAATTGGATTGGTCTTCCCACCTACCAATTCCTCGGAGTACAGATTTACTGGTGAAAAACACATATGCCATTTACACTTTAATGATTTAAAGTGCCTAATATAGCATCACCCAAGAGCTCTGTGGGAGATTAAAACTGGGGGTTGATCATTAGATAAGTCTGTAGCTGGAAGCAAGTAGCAGGAGTTCCCAATATAATCTAATAAACACAATACAGACAAAATATTAAGTGCAGGAACCCAATACTGAAAACAAAGGTATGTAAATGAAGATCATGGTTTTCCCAGTTGTAACATATGACTTATTTTGGTTTTGTATATTATTTAATTTTATTGTTGTATGCATCTAGAGTCACAAACTGTGAGAGGGGCAGCTTTGTAAACCTCATAAATAGATAAATAGATAGTTGTGAAATCTGGACTATCAGGAAGGCTAAATTAATAAAAACGAATGTCTTTGAATTGTGGAGCTGGAGAAAAAGGCTGAGAATACCTTGGACTGAATGAACTAATCATGTTATATTAGATGAAGTAAAACCAGAGGCCCTGAGGAGGCCCTGATGCTTGGGGGAAAAAAATGAAGAGGAGAACAAAAGCAAGATTGCTCAATACTATTCCTGATATCACAAACATGATCGTGCAAGAATTCATAGAAGCAGTTATTGACAAACAATCCTGATGAAATGTTGAGTGATTAAGAACTGGAACTAACTAAATGACTGAACAGCAACAAATTACATTTAAAAAATTGGAATATTCAAATATACGCAACATTTATGGCTTTGCTCACTGTCACCAATGCCTTGGTCACCTCTTGTTTGGACTTGAAGACCACCCAGAAAGTTCAGCTAATTCAGTAGTTCAAGCAGTGAGCTTGCCCATGTAACACTGCTTTGCTTACCAGCATGCTTCTGAGTGCAATTCAAGGTGCTGGTTGTCACCTTTAAACTCCTATGTGGCTCAGCATCTGGGTATTTTTGAGACTGCTAATCCAAGTGGCTTCTGCCCATCTGTTAAGATTTGAAGAGAAGTCTCCCTCCAGGTCGCTACCCCTAAGGAGTATCATCTGCAGCAACCATGGGGTTGGGCCATCTCGGTTACTGCTCTCAACACAGCAGCATTCCCCTGGAGGACAGATCGGCTCCAATTCTTATGGCCTTCGGAAAAATGATCAAGATCTTTTTCAGTAAATATTGAATTTGTCCTTTCCTGCAGGGGGGATTGGACTGTTCTCAGTGATTGGGATATTTCATTGTAGTGATGTGTGTGTGTGTGTGTGTGTGTGTGTGTGTGTGTTTAACCCTATTATTGTTGTTCTATAAATGACTCAGGATCAGTTGTGATTGGAGTGGAAGATAAGCCAAATCAGTCAGTCAATCTCAGGTGGAAAGAAAATGTAAGCACCCTAGAACCTGCAAACCCAATGAAAAAAGCAAAAGAGGAAAAACTCTATTGTTCATTCTACTTAAGGACTGCTGATATGGGAAGGCTCTGGAAATTCAACTAATTATGCAAGAAAATGCCCATGGGGGAAGGAAGATTTTTCTATAGCTTGAGGGGTGATTGTTAATGTCCTTAGCAATTGAGGATTATTATTTTCTGTTATTATAGAAATTCCTTGAAGTCAGCTTCAAGCATAAAGCAACTGGTGTAAATATGCATATGTGCAAGTAAAATAAATATGCAATGTTTTGCTTAAATCAACAAGTGTTTGAATGTTTGCAATTTTAAAAGCTAAAATATCAGTTTGAAAGAATCTCAAGTGACAAACTATTTACACAGCATTTACCAATCAATAAGAACCAAAAAGTTTACATATACAATAGAAAATCCATTTGTCATGCTGCAAATGGTCTCAAGTGACTTAATATATTTCACCAGCTTTCAGAAGGGGTGAATATATTTATATTCATCTTACCTATTAAAAGCTTATGTGTATATTGTAGGGGAGAGGGAATAGTTTTGATATTTTAAGTCTGGCTATCTATAAGTAAAAACATTATCAGAAAGAGCTGTGTGTTTAGAGAACTAATGGGTTTAGAGAACTAATAAATGGAGTTACAAAAGGGCAAAAAAATATTAATAATAATAATAAAGGGATAGGGAAGGGGATCTTCAAAGTAGCTTTCCTCCTCTATGCAGTCATCACAAGGAAAGATGGATAGAGACAAAAGCAGTAGTAGCGTAGATTCATAATGAAAATCAAAGCAAAGAAATAAGGAGATCTGGAAAAAGTACGGCCAGTATCAGGAGCATAAGGTTAAAATAAGTAACTCACATAGAAAAGAAAAATAGAGAGAGAAACAGAAGAAACAAAGACTATTATCAGCCCAGCCCACTAAAAAATTCACCCGCACAAGCTCTCTTGAAATGGTCTTGCTCAGACACCATTCATTGCAAAAGGATTGTGCAAAAGAAAGTCCAAGTGAATCAGGCCCATTACAGAATTAGAGTAATGATATTATGGAAATGGTTAAATCAATTACCAGGACATAAAGGAGAAAAAGGAAGTGGATAAAGCTGCTGCAGAAAATAGTTTCCATTCCTACTGTAATTAAATGCGACAAGAATATTACTGATAAGATTGAAATGTAATTAAGGAAATAATAAAACAGAAAGGAAAAGGAGGGGGAAAGTGCAAAGGAAAACTGAGATAAAAGTGAAGTTAAGTCACAAAATAGTATTGTTAAAGTAAATTGGGGATGGGGAAAGGCAGAAAATTATCAAGTGGAAATGAAGTTATTGCAATGAGGCCAAGTTACAGTAAATGATTCAGCACTTGTTTTCCCTCCAGTACTGCACAAGGTTAGGTGCTCCTCCCAGCCCAAACAGAGAGATATCTATCAGCTTCCTTCTAACTGCCCATTTACGGTTCTGTTTATTCACTACAGCAGAACTTTCCCACAACTCTCTTCCTTTCCCCATTACCTGCCGCAGGTTGCGAGTCACTTTTACGTTGTGCCATTGGTTGTCATTAAATTTGCCACTGACTGGCTCCACAATGGCTTCAAAGGCTCCGGATCCCAAGTTAATGATCAGTGAGACGGCACCGTCTTTCAGAGCCAAGTTGACATAATCAGCCGACTTGCCCGTGTGCAGGATAAGCCCGTTGCGCTGCCATGTCTTGAAGGAGAGTGTGATTTCATCGCTGCTGCTTTGAATGGGGTTCTGAGAGAGGTCATAGCACAGGTATTCAGAGCCACGGAAAGTAGCTACGTTCTCATCTCTTGCTGCAGAAAGACAAGAAGAAGATGCAGAAGGCTGGTCAGTTTTGTTTCATGAAGAAATAATACTCAGTTTGTTCCACTGAAATACAAACCAGATCTTCATGAATTATGGTTGCTTTTATTTTCTCTTTGCATCTGTTTACATTGATTATATATTTAAAACAGGGATAAGGAACTTACTTTCACCAGAAGATTGAACTGCCTCTGGACAAACATTACTTCTCAGAGCACAGGAATGTGGCCCCTGACATAGTTATCAATGTATCTGTTTCAAGCCTTCCAGGCAGGTGAAGTTTTTAATCTCTGAGCAGAGATTAAAGGGTTGTTTTTTTTCCTCTGGCCTACTCAGATGAGGAGTATAACCTTAGAAGAGAGATTGGATGTAGGAATGAAGCTAATGGACTGTATGGGAAATACATACAATCCACACCCAATGGAATGGAGCATCTTTTTGCTTGATTTAGAGATATAAGTGAATACATGAAACAAAACTTTCAGAGAATTAACATGCAATGAACTCAGATCATCAGAGGCAAATCTAACATCTATCTTAGCAGCTTAATTACAGATTCTTCTAATTGCATTTCATTCATGAACTTTAGTTCTTCACTTCATCATCTGTAACATATTGCATAAAGGTGAAATATTTCTCAATCTTATTGTAAAGTTGGCACCATTCAAAGTATTATTTAACAAATAATTTACTGTTTTTGACAAATTGTTCATTTAAATTAACTGATAACTAAATTCGGTCATCTTAACAGATTTGTTTCTGATTTTCATTCATTGACAAAACAGCATAAATTAAAGAAGTCCATACTACACAGAATAGATATAAGCTATCATTGAGAGTTATATCAGTCCTTTGAAAAAGGTGCCTCAGAATAGGGAAAGCGTTTAGAAAGCACTGCTTTTTTTTTTAATTGTTAAAGCAATCACATCTTTTTCCAGATTCTCAAAGCTGTTTCAGAAGCTGATCCCAGCTTTCTCTCCGTGTGTATGCATACATTGCTTTCCAGGGATGAGGGAAGGGGAGAGCCATCCAGAGAATCAGCATTTCACTGGGAAAGGACTGTCCAGTGGTAACACAGGGGGAGCACTAAAGGAACAGGTCTTTTCTAATGGGTTGTGCTCAGGAGGAGGCCACTCATCATATTCTATCAGCAATGTGGGATCCAAATTAGGTTAATTGCAATCAGGGTCTTCTAAAATCTATGGGATAAATTAGTAACAATTTATCATAGCTTCAGTGATTTAAATCCCATAACTTTCAGCTAATCTCACACATTCAGAAGTTTGCAATATGATAAACTAAATTATGCAAAGGAATTTGTTTCCTTTTTTGTTAGGTTTGAGGCTTTATATACGATGTTGGCCAAAAGAAACAATGGATTTTTTTAAAATACCAAAAATGCCACAACCCATTAGGATCCCTGCCAGAGCTAACTAATATCTCTGGTGTTGTAACACTTGTCTGTCAGTGTTTTTCCCTCTGCAAGCTGATCAGTTTTTCTGGAATTTACAGAATCTAAACATTTTCTTAATGATCTGGGATTTTTTTGATTGCCTGCTAAATCCTAATCTCGTTACAGGAAGGTGAAAATAGAAAGAATGTTAAAACAGTTATAAACCATTAGCTGAAATAGATTCCCTAGGCACATTTTATGATATAAGCTTTGACCACTGAAATTGCTTTGGTTGGTATAATGGTTAGGAAACATTATTTGGATAGGAAACACTTAATGATCATCAACTTTTAAAATAATCAGCTGTGATTTTTTTAAAAAAAATAATCTGCCTCTGTGAGTTGGGTCTGGGGATGATACAATTATAATGGTTCTACTTTGAAAATTAATTTCAGAAAGAGTGGAGAACTTCCATTTGACTCCAAGTCATTTGAACGGTGACATTCCACATACCTCTTCTTTGTGTGTGTGTGCGTGTGCATACTTGAAGAAGGTATGCAGGGACAGTTTATGCAAAATAAGAGACAATTTAGTCATGGGAAAGGAGGAGGTGTGAAAAAGAAACTCCAAATAATCCTGCCTTGACTTTGTTTGGTATAAGGGGCAGAGGGAAAATCTGGAAAGCTTTTGAAATTCTGTTATCATACCCTACAACAAGTAGGGTATGATAACAGTAACATTCCTGTGATCTCTGCACTGTCTCTTTCCTAACCTGACCTATCTTGAAGGAATTACAGATATACCAGCATACTGGTACCCAGGTCTATTTCTCAGTATTATCTGAATCAGTTGAGAATGTTAAAAGTGCTAAATAGAGTAGGCAACTGTGGCATTGCTATCGTTGAACTGTAATTCCCAACATCTCTCACTATTGGCCATGCTTCCCAGGGATGGTGAGGGTTGTATTCCAGCAACATCTGAAATTCAAGAGTTGTCTATTTCTGTGCTAAATCATCTGTAGATTTGGTAAGAAAAGGATGCAGGCCAAGAAGCTGAAGCTAAATTCTACAAAACATCGGCACTCTTGAGAGATGTTTCCTGAGTTTAAGAAGCTGGTATTCTGCCTCTTCATAGATTTTTGAAAGAATACTTTCTACTGTCTTACGCTGCATGGCCACTGAGATCTTTAGTTCTTGATATATCACTTTTGGAAGAAATGTTCTATACACTGTTGGAAACTTGATCCAGAAGAGACATAGTTAGAACTGACTTTGAATTCCTTACATTTTTTTTTTTTAGTGGTGGTGATGATCGAATGGTGCAATAATTATATAAAAAATAAAGATAATTGTTATTTTAATAACATAGCCCAATGCTTTATCATCATCCAGAGCCACAATAAAATATTGCACATCAATATCCTCCAAACTGTGGTAATGCCATAATTATTAAAGACTGAATTACGCTTGATGTATCTTTAACATCCATCAGCAACAAGGAGCATAGAAAGCTATATTAGCCTGTAACAATCGGTCTCAGGAGAACTGCTGACAACCATTTTATTTCCAAGCCAGCTAAGGTTAAATGTTTTACAGTGCTCTGTCTCCTTTCTGCAACAGAAATTTCCTGGCCGCTGCACTTGCTTCTGAACTAAAGAAAAGGAATGTATAACTATCAAGCCAGACATGCACTCTTTATATATACAGGTACCTCTGATCAAACAGCTGAATTCTGAAGCCAGGGTTAAATGGAGTCATAATGGTTAGGCTATATCACCTCAGTAAAGGATTTGTGAAGCATTAAGTATACATTTAAGAAACGGGGTCAAGGCAAGCAAATGTAAGTTCAATATAAGTTATATTAATCGCTTCAGCCATTTGTATAGAATTTAAATAAGTCATTCAGTACAACTGATTATATGAAAGCTCATTTATGAATTTTAATATTCATCCAGGGAAATTCTCACTCCAGAGACAATACTGTGCAAAGCATTCCAAAAGGCATTTTCAAAGCTTTCTGGTGCTTCAAAATGCACAGCTTCTGAAAGTGTTAAAGCAACTTTTTAAAGGTTGACATGACCACTCTGAAGACTTTCCCTGGCTGGACCTGTGATGTGCATGCCAAAACATCTAGAGGATATGGCTACTTTAACACTTCAATCAGGAGTACTTTATCCATGCCAATTATTTTGTGAAGCATCTCTTTTTAATGCTTTACATTTAAACTTAATGCTCTATTAAGCATATTTCAAAACATGCACTATAAAAGGTATTCCACATTCGTATATATGGGACTTGCTTCTAGTGAACCTGCATTGGATTGTGCTGTTAGCATCCATCTCACAGTTGCTACTTGACTGCAATGGTTTCATTCCCAAATTTTCCCCAAAACACAGCAAATTTACTACAAGAATGTTTAATGTAGCCAGTGTGACAAACAAGCACTTCCTCTTTAAAGAGAAAAAGAAGGAAATTGGACAAAATAGCCAAGGATAAAATAAGAAAGGACTAAATCATCCGGTCAGAAAACAATGTATCTTGCACAAGCATTCACAGGCAGGGTCAAATGACAAAAGTGATATTATTCCAATCCAAGCTCCTCTCCTTTTGTACGTGTGTCATGATGTGACATGCACATATGAGAGGAGTGGAGCTTGGATCACAATATTGCTTTTGGCATTTTGATGAAAGTGCTGAATCCTGCAGATGCCTTCCATAGCTGGGAAAGGAACAAAGAAAAGGCTCTACAGTTGGTTCAAAGTAAGTTCTCTAACCTGGGATGGACCATTACTAAACTAAAAACTACACACAATTACACATCTTTTTCTGACAACCTTGACTTGTACAGTTCTTTCAATAGCACCCACCTATGTTGGTATTTGGTATTCTAAGATACCAAATACATTTGCTGGATGCCAAAATTTAATTCCCATCTGAGAAAAGGATCTCAGCAAGCAGGCTGGGGAAATCTAATATTTTGTAGCGTACCTCAGAGTTAAAACACTGGATTGTAATTGAAAGAGTTACACATTCAAACAAAATCACCTAATACACTTTCTTTATTCTAGCTTAAACTAAGTTTATTATCCCACTATTAACATAGTGCTTCTATCTTCAAGTCCTTCTATGCTGCCTCAAT